CCAAAAAGGAAAAACCCTGGACTTTCCAAATGGCCAAATCTCTGGTGTTCACCTGAGGCTATAATCCCATCAACTGGCCTTTCATTGTGGCTACTCCCAATCTCCCCATTCTCTGTTACCCTTAACCTAGCCTAGCCCTCCATTGTCTAACCTCCCTATGACTCCCAGCCACTTCCCACCCTTAATCCTAGCTAGGCTTCATTCTCCCTTGGCCACTGGGTCAGGTCCCAGGTCTTCTGTTCATCCCAGTTTACTGGCCACTTCCATCCAGATCCTCCTTAGACCTATCCTCCAGTCACCTCAAACTACTTGGACACTTCTAGATCCCTCCCACAGTCTTTCTGTATATAAGGTCCATCTTGTCTCTATTAAGATGCTCAGATTCTTATAATCTAGCCACTGCTCAGATTTTTATAATCTAGTCAATAGCTCACAGATGCTCAGATTCCTTAAGAGTCTGGCTAATGTGGCGGATCTTTAAAAAATCTTGTCTTTGGCTGAAAGAAGGCTTGGTCGTGGGGCAGCTAGGTGGCGCAGTGGATAGAGCACTGGCCCTGGATTCAGGAGGAGCTGAGTTCAAATCCAGCCTCAGACACATAACACTTACAAGCTGTGTGACCCTGGGCAAGTCACTTAACCCCATTGCCTAGCCAAAAAAAAAAAAAGAATGCTTGGTCGAATTCTTACAGACAGGATCCACGTATTGTGATTTTGGGGTTCCAGCACCCCTAAACCTCTAGACCTCATCACAAGGACCCCTAGGGCCCCCCAAGACTCTCTCACAGTCTCCACACAGTCAAAACAATTTCATAAAAATATTAAGACATTCTAATTTCTAATGAGGTAGATATCAATGGATATAATGCACATAAACAAACGTTTTGTGGGTCCTCAATAATTTTTAAGTGTGAAGATGTCCTGAAGTCACTAAGTGTGAGAACTACTGACGAGGAACATGTTCAGAATTGCCCTTCCTGGTTTCCTCAGATTCCTGTGGGGCTTTGGGGCCAGCCTCTGGCCATGCATGACTCATGGCCAAAGGCCCTGACCTTTGAGAAGATCAGGAGTCCCCTGATTGGCTGCTCAGCTAGAAGAGTTCATGACTCAGTGCATTTACCAGATTGAACAGCAAGGGCCCCCATTTTCCTCTTTCATTCTGGGTTTGAATCGTGCCAGAAAATGGTGAGCTGTTGCTAGACCCCCATGGGAGGATGGGGGATGGGCTTCTGGTCACAGGGAAGAAGGACCTGAGGAATTAAGCTGTGTGCGTGGGCCCCTTGCTGCCTTCTCTGCTCGGTGTTTCCTTTCCTGAGTAGATGACCCAGCATCAGTTGGACTTCATGACCTTTTGTCTCCCTTACTACAACCAGAGGGACCCAGGGGACAAAAATGAACTGCCAGCCCTTGACAACCCTCACATTCCTCCTCATCAGTCAACCACCCATCCAAGAAGACTTTAGCAGATTATAGAAAGTCTTCAGCTAGGGTTAAAAAAGATCAGCTTGTCAAGTAAAAGGTAGAGGTGTCATGGTGAGACATCAAAGAAGGATCTAGGAGTGTTAGTGGACTGCAAGCTCCAAATAGGTCAACAGAGTCATGTGGCAAGTCAAAAAAAAAAAAGGAATGCTATCTTGGGCTGTATTAGGAAAGTGGTAGAGTCCAGAAGGAAGGAAGTTGAGTCCTGTTCAGACCACAGCTGGACCATCCTGATCAATTCTCAACACTACCTTTTAGGAAGGCAATGGGGAAGCTGGAGATAGGCCAGGGATGGGCAACCAAGATGGTGGAGAGCCTTGGGACAATGCCATATGAGGCTCAGTTGGGCAAACTAGAGGACCCGTGGCCTGTAGAAGAGACGAGGTGGTTGGCTGTTGACCATCATTCTTGAAGAGGACAAAAATGACATCACTATGCTAGAGTCAAGTCCCAGTATGTCCAACTGTGGCTGATCAGGCCCATATGAGCTTGGAAGGTTCTACCACAGGCCAGGCACAAATAGTCCACGTGAACATTTGGGGTGGATTCTCTAAATTTGTGTATCTTGCATTTCTTTTGAGCTGTTTCAATTCTGCTTTGCTCATACTGCCCAGCACCTTCTCTGATGTGGGCATGCCATGCAGAGTGGTCCTGTGTCAGCGTCTCCTGTGTTACATGGTCAGTTCCCAAGTTCTTAAGAGAGACCTTGAGAATGTCCTTCTATCATTTCTTCTGACCACGATGTCAGTGCTTACCCTGTGTGAGTCCTCCATAAAACAGTCTTTTTTGCAATCATAGGTTTTGCATTCGAACAATGTGGCCAGCCCATCAGAGCTGCACTCTCTGAAGCAGAGTTCGAATACTTGGCAGTTTAGTTCAAGAAGACACCTCAATGTCTGGTATCTTATTCTACCAGGTGATCTTCACAATCTTTCTAAGACAATTAAAATGGAAACAATTCAGTTTCCTAGTACGGTGCTGATAGACTGTCCAGGTTTCAGAGGCATGCAATGAGGTCAGCACAATGGCTCTGTAAACCTTCAGTTTGGTAGTCAGTCTAATACCTCTTCTCTCCCATACTTTCCTTTGGAGCCTCCCAAACACTGAGCTAGCTCTGGCAATGTGTGTGTCCATCTCATTATCAATGTGTACATCCCCGGAAAGTACACTGCCAAGGTAAGTGAATTTATCCATAGCATTCAAAACTTGCTCGTTCGCTGTAACCATTGGTTCCACGTATGGACAGTGTGCTGATGGCTGATGGAGCCCCTGCGTTGTCTTGGTGTTAATTGTTAGGCCAAAATTAGCATAAGCAGCAGAGAATCGATCCATATTTTGCTGCATCTCAGTTTCAGAGGCTGCACTGAGTGCACCATCATCTGTGAACAGAAAATCATGCACCAACTCCCCCTCCACTTTGGTCGTGGCTTGTAGCCTTTTCAAGTTGAAGAAATTACCATCAATGCAGTAGCTGACCTTGATGTTATGTTCATCTTCATTGAAAGTGTTTGACAACATGGGTGAAAACATCACGCTGAAAAGCATGGGAGCAGGCACACAGCCCTGTTTCCCTCCATTGGTGACTGGTAGAGGTGTGCTGACTGTATTCCAAAGGCTGTCATGTGGAAGAGAGAATGAACATTTTTCTACTTCTCTTTTCCTCTATAATATTTTTCTTGATGATCTTACCAGCTCGTCTGGGTGTTGATGAACCTTAAAACCACTTATCCAGCCCTAAACTCTCTGCTCACCCTCATTCTCACATCTCCAACTGCCCGTTACACATCTTCAATTGAATGTCCCCAAGACATCTTAAACTTGAAATTCTCAAAACTGAACTCAGTCTCTTTCCCCCCAAAGCCTCTCACCTTCTGAACTTCCCCTACGACTAATAAGGGCACCATTATCCTCTCAGTCTCCCAGACTCACACACAAGTGTAGGTCTCATTTACTACCTTTCTCTCTCTCTTTCTCTCTCTGTCCTTCCCTGCCCCACTCCCCCCATCCCCCAATATCCAATCTATTGCCAAGGCCTGTTGATCTTCACTTTGCAGCCCCCTTCTCTCCTCTGCCATTGCCCCTACCCTGCTGCAAGCCCTCATCATCTCACACCTGGACTTTTGCTATAGCCTACAGGATGGTCTCCTTACCACAAGTTTCTTCCCACTCCAGTCTATCCTCCATTAGGCCACCAAAGTGATTTTCCTAAAGCACAGATACAGTCATGCCATCCCCTACTCAGTCAACTCCAGTGACTTCCTATCACCTTCAGGATCAAATATAAAATTGTCTGTTGGGCACTGGAAGCCCTTCATAACCTGACCCCTCCCACCTTTCCAGTCTTCTTATACCTTACATCCCATGGAGTACTCTGCCATCCAGTAACACTGGTTCCCTTGCTGTTCCTCCCACAAGACACTCTATCTCCAGACTTCAGGTATTTTCTCTGGCTGTTGCTCATTCCTGGAATTCTTTCTCTCCTCATCTCCACCTGCTTCCTCGGTTTCTTTCAAGTTTCCCCTAAAATCCCACCTTCTACAGGAAGCCTTACCCAATCCCCAATAATTTTCATGCCTCTGCTGATTATTTTCAATTTATCCTATTCCTTTCATATAAGCAATGTCCAGAATTGTCTACATGCTTTCTCCTCCATTAGATTGTGAACTCCTGGAGATCAGGGACAGCTTTTTTGTTTCTTGTAGCCCCAGGATTTAGCACAGTGCCTGACACATAGTAGACCTTTAAATGTTTATTGACTGACTACCTGGCTTCTGGAGCCAGCACTAGAGACAAAGAGTGGCTAGTAGTCATAAAGAAGAGCACTTCTCCTCTATCCGTCCACTTCTGTGGCCTGCCTGGGAACCCTACCAGCCCTCCTGGCTTTGTGTTTTCTGGCTATGTGTCAGTGATTCAGCAAGTAAGGCTGTCTAGTCATTGCCAGCTGGAGACCAACCAGGGCTCAGGTCCTTGTTCTGCCACTGATGCACTTGGTAGCTTGGGCAAGCCCCTTCCTATTCCTGAGCCTCATTTTTCCTGGAGAGAGGTGGTGTGGTGCAGTAGGAGAGCTAGCTTTAGAGATCATGGATTCAAATCCCCCCTCTGCTCTTCCCTACCTCTGAACCTCAGTTTTTTCTTATCTGTAAAGGGGCTGGGCTGGACAACCTCTAAGGTGCTTCCCAGCTCTAGGTCTAGCAGAAAATGAGACGATTTATTATTGAACGCACTTGCAAATATGAAAGCTTCTATAAATGTTAGCTCTTACTGTCAACTCTTATTTCCAATGACTCCATGAATTTCCCAGGTCCCTTTCAGCAGCCCTGAGTGAGCAAGGGTTGCTGCTTCCCCCCCCACGTCCACAAGAGGGAGCTGTGTGCTCACTTTACATGGGCTAATGCTGCATCCGGCTGTTGGGTGGGGTTTGGGTAAAGAAGGGAAATCCTTTCCCCACAGTGGCATGGCTCCAGTTCCTTCACATCCGTGGCAACAGAAATGACACAAGCAGGCCAAATTTGAAAACCCAAGGCAGTAGTTTTATTTCTGTCTTCCTTCTACCCCTCAAATAAGCCCCCTTCCCTCCCTGCCCAGAGCAGAACCAGGCTGGGCTCTTCAGGCTCCCTGCTCCTCCATTCCTTTCTCATTGTGCCTGTCCAGTACTGCCTGGGGTCTCTGTCTTCACAGCTCAACTTGCTACCCCACTGCCAAATCCAGGACTTGGCATTCATGAAGCTGTGAACCAGGGTGCAAAGAGGGAGAGAAACCAGGAAGGTCTGCAGGTGAATGTGGGTGTTTCTGATTCCATATCTGTGCATTTAGGTGGCTAGGCATAAGGAGATCTGGGTTGCAATCCCAGTCTTGACCCACTGTGTGACCTTGGGCAAATCCTGATCCCTTTCTGGGCCTCAGTTTCTCCATCTGTAAAAAGGAGGCAGCACTGTATTATCTCCCCTCACAAGGCTGTTTGTGAGAGCCTCTAATGAAAGTGTAAAGGGAATGAGTGACATAAGGAGGTGGTTATTATCATTTATTAATATTCATATAATAATAAGAAAGAAGGAGCCCAGCACCCAGTGGATTGTGCATGACTGATATTGGCCTTCCCAACCTAAACAGGAATGAGATAGAATGTGAGGATCCCTGAAGGCACACTTACCCCACCCCCAAGTTCCTATGCCCATGTCTAGCAAAGGCATATGAATGACCTCCCTATAGGCAGATCCACAATGGAGGAGACGAACAGTGAAGCCAGGAGTCCCTGCCCAAGAGGCTTCTCCCTCCCCTCTCCCTCCCCCTGGGTCCCAAGGCCCATTCACTGAAGAAACCCCAGCCTCTGGGTCAACAAGTCTTTTGATCTTTTGAGATCTGGAAACTGCCTTTGAAGATAGGAGGAGTCTTCTGGCCAACTTTCACCCAGAGAGAGAAAATAGCATCATTGAACATAGAATATTAGAGCTGGAGGAAATCTCAGAACCTAGAACATGGAATGTCGGAGCTGGGAGGCCCCTTAGAGGTCTCTGGGTTTTTACTAATGAGGAAACTGAGGTCCCATGAAGGGAAAACCTTGCCCAGGATTCCACAGAGTCAGTGGAAGAACTGAGTCTAGAACCCAGGTTTCAGGATTCTCTGCCAGCTTGATGCTCTACATATCCAGGTATGACCCCAAAGGACAGAGTTCTAGTACGTCCCCCTCCCGATCCTCCCAGGCTCCTTAGTGTTCTGAGAGAGCAGACTCAAGGGGTGAGAAAGAGGATCCTTACCGGATGTCAGCTCCTACTGCCATTTCACAGTCACTTCTCTCGGTCCCTCCCCTTGTCTTATTAACCACAGTGTACTTCCCCCGGTAAGAGTCGGGGCAGCAATGCTGAAAGCAGGGGTCATAGGTGAATGTAGGACCACAGCTCAGGGGGAAGGGCTGGACACTGCCATCCTCACAGCATTGATTCTCCTGGGGGTTGTAGGCCACAGTCCCACATAGGAGCCAGGGCTGGCACACGATCACTTGGGAATCTGTGGGGGTCACTGTGTGAATGATAGACTGTTAGCTCCACAGGCTCAAGAAGAAAGGCCCCCAGAAGTGGCCCAATGCCTGCTCCTCCATCTTTCCCCCATGGCTCTTTCCCTCTCCTCCACAACCTTCCTCCCTGCTTTGCCTTCCCTTCCTTACCTGGAGCACTTGAGCAGGACAGGATAACCATGAAGAAGATGGAGACAATGACTGCTGAGGAGAAAGAGAAAGAGATGAGGGGAGCCTGGACCTTTGGATGGTGGTGCTTTGGGCCCAGCGTGGAGAGAGGATTGGGGCTGAACTTTGCATCTCTATCTCTCTTGGATGGCTAGGGTTAGGATTCATTCAGGTTAGGTTTGAGGTCAGGAGGCAGAAGGTCTAGGGCTCTAGGCAATTGTGGTGACCTGTGGGTGTCAGGGTTGGCTACATCAGGAGACTGAGAGGAGGTGGCAGGGTACATATAGGAGAGACAGCCTTAGGCTGGGGAAATGGGGCCAAAGGCTTGGGAGGCTGACTCTCCCCTAGGAAAGTCTTTGCCTCTCTTTAAACCTCAGTTACCCCAGCTGTAAAATGACAAAAGGAAGGAAGGTGGCCCTTGGTGGCAGTAAGGTCTTTTCATGACTCTCCAAATGGGAAGGGTCCAACCCCTTCATTTTGCAGAAATGATGAAGCCCAGAGAAGGGACTTTCTGGGAACTGGAAGGACCAGAACTGAACCCCAAGACTTCAACTCCAGGGCATTTGCTGCTGTGCTCTCCTGTCTTCTGGGGCCCGGCAATTAGAAATGTTTGGGAGCTAGCACTGCTATGTGCTGGGTCCATGATTCTCTCAGGGCTAGGTGTAATTGACACTCTTGGCTTTGTAAGGTGGCGTTGGGTTTGGGACTAAGCAGATTTGGGGTTGGGACTCAGGTCAGGTCCATAGCTCACCCCATTCACAAATGCAGGTGCTTCTCTGTGGGCTCCAAATCTGGAATTTGGGAATCTAAGTTCATTGTCTAGTTCTTAGGACTTTTAAAAAAGACTTTGGACAAATGACCTAATTGCCCTGGTTCTCAATTTCATCTTGTCAAATGAGTAAGTTAGAATAGATGACCTGCCAGGTTTCTCCCATAAATCCATGAGCCTATGAATGTGGAAGGTGTGGGATGGAGATGTTTGGTCCCTGGAATAAGCCAGGTCTATGGGATCCCTTCCTCTTTGTTTCTCAGAAGGATTCTGTGAGGAGCTGGGAGAAAGCTTTTGGGGAAACCTGGGTCAGAGTGAGATCAGAGTGTAAATCAGAAGTAGAGGTGGCAGAAGGTTATGGATTAGGACCAGAGACAGCTTTAGGCTCAGTGTTCTGAGATCAGAATCAGAGTGAGGGTTAGGCTGTAGTCAGAATGGAAGATGATAAGGGCTAGAATGACATTTGGGGGATTGTCATAGGATCACGGTTAGAAGGCAGCACAAGGGTTATCTAGTCTAACCCTCTGATTTTACAAGTGAGGAGTGAGTCCCAGAGAGGTCACACAGATGGTGAGCAGGTGTGATGATCAGGGCGCAGGTTTGGGTTGAATTGGAAAGGCAACAAGGTCCTCTTTGAGATGGGGTTGGAATTGAGACGAATGTTAGAGGTTGTAGGTCAGGGCTGAGGTTAGGGGGCTGATAAGATTGAGATGCCAGCTGGGAAGTAGCAAGGGTAGAATTAGCACTGAGGTTAGGACCAAGGTGGGGGGCTGGGGAGCTGGTGGGGACATAATGGGGCTGGAGCCCAGGAGCCCAGGAGGTAAAGGATCCCCTGAGCCCTCTTACCCGTGATGTAGGTTCTTGATGCCATGAGTCCTGTCTCAGTTGGGTCCGGAGGACTTGGTGCCAGCGCCACAACTGCCACCTGCCTGAGAGTGTGATAGCAGAGGTGCTCTTATCCCTGGGATCCTGGGCTTTTATTAGTGTTGGAGGTAGGTGGAGTCCTCCTCTCACTAGTAGAGACTAGTCAGGCCCTGGAGCTAGGCATAGAGTAGTGGAGGTGGGGAGAAGCTAGGAAGAGAGAAAAAGGAGAGAGGAGAGAAGGGGAAAGAAGGGAGGAAAGGGGAGAGGAAGGGAGGGGAAGGGAGGGGAAGAGAAAGGAAGGGAGAAGTGGGGAGGGGAGGAGGAGAGGAAACCTGTTCTATGCTAATGTTTCCCTTACCCACCCACCACCATGAGCTGGCTAGTAGCCTCAAGAAAGAGAGAAGAGCCATGACCCTCTCCCTACCCCCCCAGCAAGACCTACTACACATGCCCCTAAACTTTTTTTCTTCCAATCCCTTCTCATCCAGCCTAATCCTCCATGGCCCCTTAAGCTACAATCTTTCCAAATTCTGTGATTCCAGGCTGAACTCTGCTCTGGGGGATAGGAAGACCACAAGCATGGGATTCAGGGATGACAGGGTCAGTCACTAGAAGGAGAAGAATATGGGGCCCTAGATCAGAAGGGGAAATGAGGATAGATGCTGGTTGGGGAGACAGTGCCTTAGGGCAATGGGTCCTAGCCCAGAAGTGGAATCAGAGCAAGCTGGCAAGCCCCATGAAAAAAGCCAATGGGATCAGGGAGCTGAGAGGCTGGCCTGGGGAGGAGGCCCATTTGGTCGGCAGCTTCATGTTTGAACCACTTCCTTTCTTGGTGATTCATTTAAACTGGATGTAAAATTGGGAAGCTGGGGTTAAGTAGACTCTAATTCAACATTGATTAAGTGCCTAGTATGTGTAAGACACTGTCTTGGTGACCAGGGATGCAAAGGTAAACATGAACCCCATGCCAGTCAGCAGGGAAGCCCTGTCCTGCTGGGGATGGAGAGGGATGGACTGACCATGTGCACAGACCAGAGCCATGTAGGACTGAGCATGGAGGGGCCAAGGGAAAGGAAGACCTTCCCAAGACATTCTGGGAAAACTCAAAGGGGCAAGAGAATGCTTTCAGTTGAGAGAATCAGGGAAGACTTTGTGAAGGTATTAGGAGTCATCCTGTTTTCCAGAGCTAAGGACCAGCAAGCAAGCTGTGCCCTGAGCTTGGTGTCACAAGAATCCTTCGTGCTCACCCTCTGGCAAAATGACACAATTATTGTATTGCTTCCATCAGCATAAGGGTTCTCTGAGCTTGGTTCAGCACCAGACAAGCTCTGACAGTTACTCATGTTCTGGTCCTCAAGCCCTGCTATGAATCACACCTGTCTCATTGTTGTGCTTACCCCTTAATATCAGCATTAAAACCCTTTGCCCTGTCATTGGTGTATTGAGATCTCCCCATGGGGGCGGAGCCCTGGCACATGTGTGTGATCTTCCTCCTTGCAAGTGGTTTCCCTCACTTTGAAATTAAACTTCTGTTTGATTCCTGACTCACTTGTCTCTGGCCTCTCCTGTTTGGCTCCAGCCACCCACAGGTTAGAGGCCAGTACTGTACTGTTGACAACATCATGAAGGAGAAATGGTCTGGATGGAGCCAGAAGACAAGGAGGAGAGCACTCATGCCTGACCAGACCTGGGGAATGCCCTTAATGGGGGCTGGTCATCCCACGTGGCTGGAACTCAGAGAGCACGAGGGGCAATAATTGGAAATAAGTCTGGGATAGGAGACTGAGTCAGCATGGAAGGGCCCAAAGTGGCAGAATAAAGAATTAGCATTTATCCTAGAGGGAACAGGGAGCCTCTGAAGATTTTTGAGTAGGGAATGATTTGGTCTGAGGGCCCTCCCAGCTCTGACATTCCCTGTTCTAAGGCCCTGCCAGCTCTGGCATCCCCTGTTCTAAGATCCTCCATGCTCTGACTTTTTCTGTTCTAAAGGCCCTCTCAGCTCTGATATTCCATATTTGAAGACCCCTTTGTACCTCTGACATTGGATATTCTAAGGGCCCTCATATCTATGACATTCCCTGTTCTCAGGGCCCTCCCTGCTATTCTGACCCTCTTTTGTGGGGTGGGAGAGGTCTGGGGGGGATTATCATCATTAGTATTCTCCCCTCTCCCTTCCAAATTTTGTGAGAAACAATTCCGTCGGACCTTGACTCTATTCCAATCAGTATTAATCAGTTTGATATGAGTCTGTAAGGGTACTAGGTATACGTTCTGCATATCAGGCCCCAGAACTATGAGCTACAGATTTGCTGAATCATAGGAAGCTAACTAGAGGCCCTCCACCTTTGTTTTGTCTTGTTATGGTGACCAAGGCCAGTGTGGCAGAGGTGACTCAATTACATGGAAAATCCTCCAACTTATTCTTGTACCTTGGGACCACTCTCTCTTGTCCAAAGGAGCAGTGACCATCTTATGACCACTTAATCAGTGGAGATGCCCTCTGCTTCTCCCAAACTGAGACCACCCTGCTGACGTATTATTTCTAGCTGATACCTCAGTTTTTGGCCTGTGAAGGAAGATCTGTCAACTAATGGGATTCTGTATTAACCTCTTTAGAATGTTCAAGGTATCAAATCAAATCAAGCCATCTAAAAATAAGGACCTGGAAAAAGGGGGCATCTCAGATCATAGGAAGATCTAAGGATCACTTCATTGGAGGGGACCTTGGACTTTTTAATAAAGTGCCATTGGCTCAGAGCTATGCCTCAGTCTCTTTTATTGTAGGTTGAACAATTTTAATCCCCACAATTCCTACCTCCCAATTAAAAAAGCCATGGGAAATTAGTATAATATACATTGACAGTGTCTGAATACTTCTGTCTCAGTCTGCCCCTTGAGACTCTCGCCTCTTTGTCAGAAGGTAGATGACGTTTCCTCCCCAGACCTCTGGAATCTTGAGGGGGGGGTGTCACTTCATTGGTCAGAGTTCTGAAGTTTTTCCAAATTATCTTTTGTGATCATATTGTCATCCTTGGACAAATCCTCCCTTGCTTCTCTTCACTTCAGATAAGTCCATAGAAGTCTTCCCCAGCTTCCTCTTACTTGGTATGTGAAACAAAATACTGTTTGGGGAAAGTCTGGGCCTGAGGCATTTGACAGTTGGAGATGCCACCACCTTGATCTAGCTCCACCAGGGAATGGGGGGGCGCAGGAAACGTACTTGGTCACCTGGTGAAGTGTAATGTGTCCTGTGCTCGGGGTTAGAGACCGGAGTACTCACCCTAGTTCTTCCCAACTCCCTCTGACCTAGAGAAAGTTATTTCTACATGCCCCCAAGTTTTAATTTTGTTGTTGTTCACTTGTTTCAGTTGTGTCTGATTCTTTGTGACCCCACTTGAGGCTTTCTCGGCAGAGATACTGGAGTGGTTTGCCATTTCTTCAGCTCATTTTACAGATGGGGAAACTGAGGCTTGGAGTGGGGGAGATCAGCCAGAAGGTTACTGCAATTTGTTGTTTTTGTGTCCCCAGTACTGACCCAGTGTTTGGCACATGTAGATGTTTAATAAATCCTTGTTGAATCATTGATCTTTGTAGGGCATGACCTCATGTTCCAACTTAAAATGTGGCCCCTAGAACAAAGAACAATGCACTAGATGGTTCTGATGTCACCTCCTTCCCTCTGGACACAAGTCCCTATCCAAGGTCCCAGAGTAAGGGGTCAGGGAAGAGAGAGGAACCCAGATCACTGTTGATTCCAAGCCAGCTGTCTCTGTCCACTGCAACAGAGTTTCAAACTAAGCCTGCCAAACTTCTGAACCAAACAAACATGTAACTGAGAAATGTTTAACAAAATAAATAAAAATACAGTACAATATAGATAATGCTAAGGTGTAGTTTTCTAAGAAGTCAATATACTGCCTGTAGGGGTCCACTTCTATTTGAATTTGACATCACAGCATTATACTCTGCTGCCTCAGTAGTGGAAAGAGATGCTTGCCAAAGCCTTGTGCAAAGTAGGCATTTAATCTCTTTGTTGGATTGAATTGAAACCCTGGGAGGGAACCGGTTCTCTGTGGGACACAGAGCAGAGATGGGAACATTTGGGCTTGAGGACAAAACTTCTGGGGACCCCTTCACTTTGGGTGCAGAGAGGTAAGGGGGGAAGCTTCAAGCCTGGTTAATGGGGAGGGTTGGGAGGCTGTTAGTAGGAACAGGGAAGATAGGAGGAGAAGTGAACTTGAAGAGAGGATTAATTGTGGATCCCTGGGACTGGAATAGTTGATGGCCGATCCCGGGCACCTGCATATAAGTCCAGGGATCCCCCCAGGCAGAGCACCTTCTTTGGGCTCCTACTGTGATGACTCCTACTAATGCCGTTCCTTCTTACAGTATTTGGAGGGGAAAAAAATTGGACATTCAAAGAATTGTCAGACTTCCAGGATTTTGTGTCAAAAAGGCCTGACATCAATAGAAAATTTGGCACACAAGATCCAAGAGAAATTTAATGTGAACACCAAAGACTGATTGCAGGGGATTCAGTAAGCACAGGTTGTTAACTTTTTATAGGAGGAAATGTAAATCGGGTTCCTGTGATTGTCATTAGTAATTGGGTAGTCTGAAAGAAAGATGGGGGTAGAGTTGAATATATGATACCATCTAGGAAAAGATAAAAAGAGGGGCAGCTAGGTGGCGCAGTGGATAGAGCAGCGGCCCTGGAGTCAGGAGGACCTGAGTTCAAAGCTGGCCTCAGACCAAACACTTGACACTTACTAGCTGTGTGACCTTGGGCAAGTCACTTAACCCCAATTGCCTAAAAATTAAAAAAAAAGGAAAATGAGTAATTATCATACAAATGAGGTGTAAAAAGAACTGACACAGAGCAGTTAGATGGGGGAGGATGGTTGGTAGTTCTGGAACCCTACTCTCATTGGGAATGGGTTAAAGAGGGAACAATACACACATATATATATTTATATCAAGAAGAATATAAAAGTCTTCTAAATTCAGAAAGAAATAAAGGGGCTGGGGGGGAGAGAATAAAAGAGGGATCTTTGGTGAAAGGGTAAGTTAAGTAATAAGAGGGCAAGCTAGCAGGTAGAAGGGGAGTCAGGAGGGATAGG